AGTAGCTTCTTGTTACTAGTAGCGATGCCAGGAGCCCCTAGTAGCGTACTTGCTCCTAGTAGTAAGGCCAGGAGTAGCTTCTTGTTACTAGTGGCGATACCAGGACCCCCTAGTAGCGTCCTTGCTCCTAGTAGTAAGGCAAGTAGCCCCTAGTAGCTTCTTGTTACTAGTAACTAGCGATGCCAGGAGCCCGTAGTAGCGTCCTTGTTCCTAGTAGCGTCCTTGTTCCTAGTATTGATGGTGCTTTTCTTTTCACAGGTCTTGGGAATCGAAGCTGCACGACGGACCATCATGCAGGAGATCAAAGTCACGCCACTTTGGCACACCATACTCTGCTTGTGTTTGAACCTAATAGCGATGGCCTCGAACCTATTAGCGATGGCCTCCAACCTAATAGCAGTGGCCTCCATTCTAATAGCAATGGCCTCCAACCTGTTAGCGATGGCCTCCAACCTAATTGCAACGGCCTCCAACCTATTCGCAATGGCCTCCAACCTGTTCGTGATGGCCTCCAACCTAAGAGCAATGGCCTCCAACCTAAGAGCGATGGCCTCCGACCTAAGAGCAATGGCCTCCACCCTATTCGCGATGGCCTCCAACCTATTCGCGATGGCCTCCAACCTATTCACGACGGCCTCCAACCTAAGAGCGATGGCCTCCAACCGAATAGCGATGGCCTCCAACCTATACGCGATGGCCTCCAACCTATTAGCCATGGCCTCTAACCTAAGAGCGATGGCCTCCAACCTATTAGCATCTATTAGCCATGACCCCCAACCAAATAGCGACGGCCTCCAACCTAATAGCGATGGATGAAGTCCAACCTGATAGCAATGGCCTCCAACCCAAGAACGATGGCCTCCAATCTAAGAGCGATGGTCCTGGCCTCCATGTTTTTTCTTTTCTTGTGTTTGATGCTGCGTTGAGATGGGAATTGGATGGAAATGGTTTGCTCCAGAGAAAAAGTCAGCCATCCAAATGCCTTGCAAGGCTGGGAGCTCATGGCATTTCCGTGGATGTGCCGGGCTGAATGGCTGAATTGGAATTTGCAGGCGTCAAAAGCAGCAATGCTGGACGAGAACAAAGTGACCGTGAACAAGAGTTTATACCCTTTCCTTCTACGAGACTGCGAGAGTTTTCTCTACTCGCCCTGGCTACATACTTTTTATTGAAGCAAGGTACCCTTGAATGAATTCTGGCAGCTAGTAGCAGGTGTTTGACCCTCTGACCAATTGAACACTTTGAAGGGATCTCAGTATCTTAGCCTTAAGCGAAGGTCCAAGGTTACACCTCGAGGTTCCTCGCTCACCTTTCTTGATTTCGCCACCATTCGAGGCCCGTCATATCCAAATGCTGGGAGATTGCATGACCTATCGTGGTGCGGCCTGGCACCCAAAGCCCTACTCACATGCAGCTTCCTGAAAGTCAAGTCAGGGAAGATTGCAGAAATCGTGTGATGGCAGAAACTGAAGTGGACGCCATCGTTCTGAGACAGGTCTTGGGCATCAATCGCTTCGGCATTAGCCGCATGCGAACCTCCGCCTTGATGTGTGGCCGCCCAGTCTGCCCAGTCGCGCACCGCCGCGGACAGACCCGCGCGCTTCAAGGCTGGCCTCCTTCGAGCGCACCACCGATTTGGTCTTCGACGCTGCGGCACGGCATCGTGTGGATCCGATCAAAGGGGTGAGTGAGTCCTCATCTCAGATCCACAACTGGATTGATGCGGAAGAAGCGAAGACTGAAGTCGTTTCGAGAAGCACTTGCGGCCGAGATCTGAAAGCAGACTGAATGAGAAAGTGTCAAACATGGAAGGTGTTGTTTTCCTTTCAAACCGGAAGAACTCAGTGAGGTGCATTATCATGGGCTCCACCATCAACGTAGGCACTGGGCTTTGTAAGCTTCTCTACGACTTTGGGGCAGGGAGACCTAGCCGGCCGTGGCCTGCTTCCGTTCAAGTCTTCAAGGTTCATCAGGTGTTCAAAGAGGAACCGAAGCTGGCTGATCTTCGCTGCATTAGCTTGCCTTCAGCTGAGGCAAATCCGTCCAAAACAGGCAGGAGTTCATTGCACTGCGATCGAAGTGTGTTCCACTGTTCGTATTTGTTTGTAATTACGGTCCAGGTACGTGACTTGAGCATGGCTAGCATGGCCACAAGTCGTACTTAAAAGTCTACCGCATGGGCGGTCACAAGTCCGTGTCAAGCCTAGCCGCCTAGCCTGTGCGAGCCGCTCTGGCCAAACCTGGACAGGCGGTCAGACTGGCAGTCCGACTGTTGGCAGCAGCAGTTCTTGGAAGGCCCGATGTGTCGAAGTTTTGGGGTGAGTCATGGTCAATGCATGGTTGCATCATGTTGCATCCTCCTCACAAAGAAGTCCAACCCGAGTAGATCAAGTCATCATTTAGCAATAGCTGCAAATGATGCTTTCCATTTGCTCTTTGCTGCACCCTGTTCCCTTCGAAACTGAAACGAGCAGTGAAGGCACTCCGAACTGAGCCATCGAACGAGGTGACTCAAGGCCGTGCTCCTCTCCTCAAGCTGGGCAGCCAAGTGCCAGTTTGTCCACTTCGATGCCACCCATTGCGCCCATTGTGCAGGAAAAGATAACAACTAGACAGATGCATTTTGTTGTCATTTGTATCCCTCTCTCTTGAGGAATTGGCGGAAGCGTGTGAGCTTCGAGGATAAGGAGAAATCATCCAAGGCTCAACGTCTGGATGAGAAAACATGAGAAAACAAGCTGATCCCATCGCTAGTAGGTTGGAGGCCATCGCTACTAGGGTGGAGGCGGCGGTCCACGCCGAAGGTCGGGCCAGCTGGGCGACTTGTACATAGAATTTGCCGACCGAGACTCGGTGCACAAGAGGGCGTGAGCACGGTGCCAAAAAGGAAGTTTACGTCTTTCCAGAACGGAATCGAAGCACGCACGATGGAGCATTTTTAAGGGATGGCCAGAGCGTCCGGGCCCTCGCACACGTCGCTCAGTTGGCTGTGAAGTGGATTTGACGGGCTCCATGATTGCTGCATGGATCTGATATATGCCCATGATTGTCCATGTCAAGATATGCAGCACAGAAAGTTAGAGAAGTGTCAATCAGCACGACTTCCGAGCCGAACTCATCATGGATTGGGGGCTCTCTGGCCCTTCACGGCAGGCGACTGTAATCACTGTTTCCGTGCGCTGCAAACACGGCAAAGATGTGGAAACAAGATATATAGATGAGTCATGATGAGTCAACTATCATCAAATAATAGCTATAGTCATCCTGGAGTAGATAGAATATGGATTTCAACACAGGAAACTGGTCATGTTTGGGATTGGTTCATATTCTATTCACTCCAGGATGGTTGTATATCAGATTGCAATTGAAGTGAGACCAATGATTTGCAATCAATTGGTTGGTCCATAGCTCAACAGTCCAACTGATCCCTTGATCTTGCAGGTGGCCGACGGATTCAACGGTGAGACCAACAGGCTTCGAGTTCTGAGATGCCTTATGGTTCGGGTTGGCTGGTTTCTGAGTTATTTCTAGAATCGGCTGGTCCTGGTCAGTAGGTTTTTAATGTCTATCGATGATTAGTAAACAGGGGATCCCCCGTTTACACCTAAATACTCCTAGGACTCCTAACCCCCTAATTCCTGAAATGTGGAGGGATTTGCTCCGGACGGCAGTGTTCCCTTCCGGACCTCAAACTGCTAGCTCCGGATGGCAGTGTTCCCGCCGGACCTCAACCGTGAGTCAGAAGATATGCCAGATAGAACGCCAGAACGAATGTCAGAAAGAATGTCAGAAGATATGCCAGAGAGAATGTCAGAAGATATGCCAGAAATAATGTCAGAAGATATGCCAGAAGGACTGCTGAAATAATGTCGTTTCAACACATGCCAGAAAATTTGGCAGATTGAAGTGTCATGATGGGACTGTAAGAACTTTCATCAGAAGGCTTTGGGCTTTGGTGGCTCCAGGATGTTCCAAGTCTTGAAATGAGGAGGATAGGAATTCACAAGGAACCAGCGAGAATAAAAGGAACATTAAAGAACGGCCCGACACGAAATAAAACTACCATGTGCATCCATATGCTTTAACCAGCAAAAAAGTAGCTCCACTTAGGGTGCAGATTATTTTGGATATGGTGGCTTCATGGGGTACTCTTTCCAGAGTGATACACTTGAATTGTTGATGTTTTTTTTGGAGTAATGGGGTTTATAGATGATTTTCATCAGGGGGCTCTGTGTTTTTGATGATTCCACGTCTTGAAATGCAGAATGGAAGATTTAAACAGGAACCAATGGAAAAAAATAAGTCCAAACACAAGATAAAACAAAAGGATGTTTCAGCCAGCAGAAAGCGTTAGCTTTATTTATTGTGTTATTTAGGGCGTGGTGGCTTCATGGGACAGCAATGAAAAAAATCATAATGTGCACCAAAAATTTGTAGGTGAATCAGCAAAACACACTAAAGATAAGCGAATTCCAATGGCAAACAACTGAACATGAAAAAGGAACATGATGAGATATGATTCAATCTCAATCACACAGCAACGCATATGGGAAAACAAGGCTGGAGGATGTGTTGGTTTATTTAGGGCCGTGTTTATTGTATAATTAGTTTCGGGATTTGCTTAGTTTTGTTTGAAGGTGTTTATTTGTCGGTAACCATGAGAAATCGAGACCTTGGCTACTTCAGTCCAGAACTATTTGCAGTATCACGTTGGTCAAAACTATTGGTAATTTATATGCAACATACATGACTTACAGGAGAGTTCTGGCTCGCCTAGAGAAGGCCATGGGACCATATAATTCAATCGGAATAGGTATTATATGACAACAATATGCAGCCAACAAAAAAACATCCGAATGGAAACAGTGTTAACGAATCACATCGCCACCGTGACACGTCATTCCAGCGCCAATAGGCTGCTTGTAAATCAAAACATCGGGGTTGTTTGTTGATAGCAAGAACACCAGGTCTCCACTGCGTGTTTTGCAGGCCCACATCAAAATTGCGGATGCTGTTGTCCAGAGATACCGTTCCAAGCGCGTCCACCAAGAGGCAAGGAACGGATGGCCTGTATGGCCACAACTGGTGCGTTCGACGCTTTCGGGACTCGTCCACCTCGACATGGATGCGATGCGGCCCGCAGTGCGGCCCGCACAGCCCGCTCGGCCTAGGCAAGTCCAATGTGGAAAGAGTGGCATCCCCACGACCCACAGCGGCCGATCTCACACCTCGATGTCTTTGGAGCTGGCCGAAGCCACAGCGGCCGTGCTGTGCGGCCTGGTGTGGATCCTCGGTGTGGATCCATTTCGGAATTTCAAAGTCTTAAAGCTACTTGTAGTAGGTTGGAGGCCATCGCAAGCAGGTTGGAGTCACCACAGAATCCTCAGAGTCTTAATGCTGGTCGAAGAACATTCTTTTGTTTTTTCATGGCATTCCGTACCCATTCAACTTCTAGAGGCTGACAGACACCAAAAGCATGTTCTCCAGAAAGAGCTTGAACAACTTGTTCTTTGATACAAAGAGCAATTTGAAGGCATGGCAGGAGGTTTGGGGCCCAAACAAAGCGTCCTTACTGCCTAGAGTGTTGAAAGGTATTCTAATTAAATGATCAATTACACGAGCATTGCATGTGCATCCCGCAGTAGCTTAGCCCACCAAGTCCAGTGAAGCCTGAAGATGTCAGAACATTCGGACATGAAAACGGGCGATGGTTTCTGCAAGGATTTCGGTCTTCTATCGCCCTGGTCGAGTTGATCCGTCTTTAACAGCATCTCACGGAGTCCCTAGACCGCTTGGAGCCCCGTTCGTAGCCTCCGATCGCTCCTAGTAGTAAGGCCAGGAGCCCCTAGTAGCTTCTTGTTACTAGTAGCGATGCCAGGAGCCCCTAGTAGCGTCCTTGCTCCTAGTAGATGGGTGAGATCGGAATTGATCGGAGATTGGAGATTGGACCATGGTGAGCCCGTTAACGAGCCGCATGGCGTGAGTTCGGCTTGGAGTCGAATCAGGCCCGGCCGGAAGACGTAAAGGTGCAAAGGGAGTAGTTGCGAAGCCCACTAGCTGCTAGCTGAGCTCTTTTCTGGCATCCACGTTTGCATGAAATATTGCGCCGCACTCGTCATTCTCCAACTTGGCGGCTTCGTTCGCCTAGTTCCTTCGCCTTCGGCTCCACATGCCAACTCACTGTGCTGCCGCTACAGGTGCTGGACATGGCAACCATCGACAGTTGCCCGGTTTTAAACAGTGATGTATTTTTTCGACAAAAAGTGTCTTTTTGGGGGGTTGTGCCGAAGAAAGAAACCGACGAAAGTGACGGACACCGCACACACTGAGGCACGAAGAAAAAATATGTTTGTGGCTTCACGGTTCATGATGCCAAGGAGCTCAGTCAGGACAGGCAGATGACGGCAGACCGCAACAAGCAAAACGAACCAAAAGCTGCGTACTGACAAGAGCTTCTAGTAACAAGTGCCTTACTACTAGTAACAATAAAGCTATACTAGTAACAAGTGCATCGCTTCTAGTAACAAGCTGTTTGTCCTGGGCGCTTGAGACAGGATGGAAGCGCTGTAGATCCTTTAGTAGCTGCTTGGCAGATGCAACTCACACGCTGAATTCGTTTTTGGCCGTCGCTAGTGGAGGCCATCACTATTAGAAACAAAGAAACAACGAAAGGAAGAACATCTTCTAGCGATCCTCCAGGTCGTCCGATGTCTTGGCAAGGCGGGCGGGCTGCTTCTTCGCAAGGTCCAAAGACAATCTGTCGTTCTTCCTCGCTGCAAGGAATACAAAACAGCGATGAAGTCCGGAAAGATCCAGCATTGCAAGTTTGAAGAGATCCTCGGCCATCATGACATGACTTGTTTCTGAAATGGAGACGTGTTCATGCTGAAATGCATAGACTTCGCATGACTTCGCTGTGTATCTTGCTGTTGGTTGACAATGTTGTCGTCGAGCACAATCCAAATGTCCTGATCGTATGTCAGCTGGATGAGGTCTTACATTTGGAATGACTTGTACGTCACGGAGACCGAGTTCAGCATGACCTGCATCGAGTTTGAGTTGCAGGCAGCCAACATTTTCACTCGGAATACCGTGCTGGGCACTGGAAAGGCTCAGAACCCAGGGCATGCAGCAGACAAGAAGCTACGATCGGAGCAAGGACGCTACTAGGGGCTCCTGGCCTTACTACTAGTAACAAGAAGCTACTAGGAACACAGGGCATCGCTACTAGGAGCAAGGACGCTACTAGGTGATGCTTTGGATCTTGATCTAGAAACCCTGCAGCTGTTGTCGCATCCAGAGGCATTTAGTCGCAATTTAGCCAAGGTGCAGCTTGCTATGGTGAGGCAGCGGCCAAATCACACCTACAACCGCAAGCAGATTCATGGCTAGCACGTTCCTCTCGAGCAACTCGCGCGCTGAGTGTTCTTTTAGATGGAGTTCTTGAAGACACTGGAAGACACTGGAAGTGGTCCGTACTTGATCATGAAACAATACCATCCAGGGACGCCACTAGGGGCTCCTGGCATCGCTACTAGGAGCAAGCACGCTACTAGGGGCTCCTGGCCTTACTACTAGGAGCAATGTTTGCTATTAGAAACAATACCATCTGACCACATGCCAAACTGAGGATTCAATTGACCGTCGATCACAGACTCACCTCCAAATTGACGGTCACCGTCTTTTGCTACGGTGAGGCCAGAAGAAGTCACGAGAAGTCAGCTCTCCCCAACGGAACATGGTTACCCTTTGGTCCTGCCAGGGTGATAAGCCTCCAGCTCCTGATGATGCCATTGAGAACAAGGACACATGAAGTCATTCTGATTGACCGAAGCCATGTGTCACAACCGAATCAGAGCTGGATAATATGTTTTTGCATTGCTTCGCTGCAACGTGCCCCCCCCTTCCCAGGAGGAAGTAGAAGCACACCTCAACGATCTCACCACAGCTGTGATTGGTGATGTAGGACGGAGTCTGTCAGACGGAGTTGTGTTTCTTTGATTTGTTTTTTGCTTTTTCTATCATCACATGGGTTGCTCTCGTTTGACACATTACGACTCATATGACCACAGACTTTAGACTTGGAGGGCTTGCAAGGCTCGGTGCTTTCGCATACGCTTGCTGTCAGATGCTGTCAGGCAACAAGAATCAATTCAGACTCTTGCCTGAAAACTGGTTGTCGCTGCTGTGGTCCAAACAAAACCTGTCACGTGTCGTCTTTCTTGAACAAACATACATGCACCCCCCACTGAGAGGGTAAACCCTTCCGTCGAAGGACGGCCAGAAATTTAACAAGTGAACACATGAATACACCATTGAGCAAGGGCAACAGGTCAGAGCATCATTTCGCACGAAGCATGTACCGTTTGATTTCCTATTAGTTCCTTTAACGTAAATGAGCAAGACTATATATAGCATGCAATCCCAAGATCGATCCCAATACTAAACACATTTGGATATAATTTTGAGTATTACTTTAGTTGCAGCCCCTCTACCATATCTACAAGATGATAGTGTGCGAAAATTATTGAACAATAGCAATCCCCAAGGATAGAGTACCTTTCAGCAAGGCATGGCCCATTATTCAAAAAGATAATTTAGCTGGATAATCGGGGAAACAACATGGATTTGAAAGCGATACCAAAATGATACCAAACGATACATTGTTTGTATGTTTGGATGCTAGCTGAAGTCAGTTGCCACATATATACATGGTTGCGGACTTCTGCGTTGAAAATTAGGTTGCTAGCTGCTAGATGTTGCTACCCCTTGGCTGCCTTAATCTTGTTTTGCTGGTACTCTTTGACCCTTGTTTGCGACCCTCATGAAATGGACTTGCTGTTTACATGAACCGTACCTACCCCCAAAAGTTGAGCAACACGTTGGAAAGAAGCTTATCCTGAAATGAACCCTACCATGAAGCTTATACGCACGTTTTGTCGCTCATTGTGAGTGCTTTCAACTTGACTGCCGCGGCCCGCCCGGTGCTTGCTTCAGATCAATTCTACCACCTCTTTGTGCAAGTGCATCGAGCAGAGCACTTGGGTGGTGCCGAGAAGACGTCACTGGGAGAATCGACACCTCTGGTGCAAGCGGGCGATGGAGAAGGAGTCACATCGGTTTCCATTTGGTGACTCCTTTGACCCAGCTTAGGTTTAATCCATATGTATCCGAGCCACAGCTGCATCAGAAACGCTATATTCAACACAATGAATTCTCTCCTGTTGGTGGGGAGAAATGGAGAGAAGGCAGGCCAGCTTGGCACGAGCGGCGCCAGCTTGACAGGTGCTTTTGTTGGGGTCGTGTAAGTCTCCTGGAGCTTGTTCGATGCCTATCACTGACTTGTTTCGACGCCACTCTGGCGGACTGAAGGTTGAATTCAACGGCCATGAACTTAGAACTCCAGCTGCAAGAGATACACATACTTTGGCAACTTGGCATCGAACGGAAGTGACACAGGGACGCCACGCATCTCCCCTTAGAGGTTTTAGGTTCGAGGCCATTGCTTCTATGGTTGAAAGCTCTTACGTTGGAGGCCATCGCTCTTAGGGTGGAGGCCATCGCTAGTAGGTTGGAAGCCATGAAGCATCTCCGGGTCCTTAAAGGTTTTTTGCTCAATCTCAAGACCTCCACCGGATGCGGGCGGATGAGCATCAGCCGCGTCCAAGGCATTCGATGAGCAATTCCGGATCCCCGTGACAACGCCACTTTTTCAGGATTCGATTGTGCCTTGGTGCAAATTCAGTGGCAAATGGTAGATTTGATCCACGCTTTGACTGTGAAGTTGCGATTTTTTGGCAGGTGATCCGCATTTGGGACTCCGCCAAATGGGTGCGGGATGAGATCATTGTTCAGGGGAGATTATCTTTCTCGCTACTACGTGCAAAGCTCAGCAAAGACTATATGCGCATTATGTGCTGTGCAAATGAAAAAAACCCAGTCGGCACTGTTTGCAGGAATGCATGCCATGTCGCCCAAGTGGTTCAATTTCTACGGCTTCAAGAGTGAAGAGGCAGGAGGCCGAGCGCTGGGTCCATTCTCTCGGTGGCCGTTCCCGCGCCGCGCAGGTTCCGGATGTCCAGGCCATTACCAGCTCTGGTGAAGTTGCAGAGGAAAATGCCTATTTGGGTCGTAACTTGGGCTTTCGAACGGATGCCAAGGGGTCGAAGAAACGAGGGGTCGAAGAAACGGTGTGCTGAGCGCTCTGTTCGGAGGAAGCTAGAGCTGAGGACTGCTCATCAGTGCCAGAGTGAACAAGGCGCAAAGAATAAGAGATGGAACAGCATAAACGAGAGAACAAGAGATGGCTCAGTTGTGCTTCCGTTCGTTTGTGTTCAGGTTGAATCTATGGCAGCCTTACAGCTTCCTGCTGTGATGAGGTACAGTTACAGAGTGGTGAAAGCATGTGAAAACACGTTCAATGATCCTTTTTATCGCTACTAGTAACAAGTGCATCGCTACTAGTAACAAGTGCCTTACTAGTAGTAACAAGAAGCTACTAGTAAGAAGAAACAATCTTCCTTTTTTATCGCAGAATATCGAAGAGACGTGATCCGAGAGACGTGTCGTTTCTTCTTGGACTCGCTCAGAGGAGGTCCTTGTGAGGAGCCACCCTCTGCGGTGCAGAACTTCCTGATGGATGCCTTTGAAGTCTCGGGCTGTGCAGGGAGTGAGGTGGCGAGAGACATGTGAGTGATCATCGGAGAGGGGGGAGCTGTCTGCTGAAAATTGCATGTGCTTTAGTGAAGATGTCGGGTGTACTGCGTACTATTAGCTTTCGATGGCTCGATCACCGTGCCGTCTACAGAACTTCTTCATGATTCTACCTAAGTGCCATGGACATCAATCCTGAAACCAACACAAATCAAGCATAATCAAGCAGCTGACCATATTGAAGTTATATTATTCTTATTTATTCTTATAGCATCCATGCCATGCTTCAAAGGCCGTTTTTGAGAAAACTGCCGCAGGTCATGCTTGAGATGTCCGTCGGAACCAAGTCGAAAAAGACCAAGACGGCCTTGCGGAGCAAAGATTCGGATGAAGATCCCATGATGCCCGGACGATTCCTTTTCCAAGGTCACTGGAAAGCGCACGATGCCTTCCTTTTTTGGCGGGATGGGGCAGCCCGCGAACGTAGAGGTAGCTAATAGAAGAGGACTCAGCACAGCTTGCACTAATGATTTGGTTCCTAGATCAGAGGAACTTAAGGCATCGCTTTGCTCGACTCAGTCGAACAACTTGTCAGTCTCACGTAGCCAGCACCAAGTGAGTGACTCCAGGTGACAAGGGGAGAATGACACCCTTAGTCGCTGTGCTGCCAACGAGTCCAGCCGAACAACTGGATGTGCTTTTGTCGCTTTACTCTCGCATCACTGGCTTCGTCACTGACGCCGACTGGCAGCGCATTGGCTTTGCACGGCTGAAGGCAGGGACCAAGCGCACCGCAGGTTCAGTGCATGTCTACTATGTCTTAATACCCCCAGGACTGCCAGCACTTTTCTGTGATCATCTTGCCATTGTTGTCTTTTCATGTTCCTAATACTTTTTGTACTTGGTACGACTCAATTTCGCACGAGCTGGAGGACAGGGCATGACTTCAAGAAAGATGTGACATATTTAAAAGCATTATTCCTCAATAAAGAAGGACATAATAATGAGACTGCATGTTGTAGGCTGGAGGCCAACACTAGTACGTTGGAGGCAACCGCTCTTAGGTTGGAGGCCATCGCTCTTAGGTTGGGGGCCATCGCTATTAGTTTGGAGGCCATTGCTACTAGGTTGGAAGCCACTGCTATTAGGTTGGAGGCCATCGCTAGTAGGTTGGAGGCTATCGCTAGTAGGTTGGAGGCCATCGCTAGTAGGTTGGAGGCCATCGCTACTATGTTGGGGCCATTACTAGTAGGTTGGAGGCCATTTCTATTAGGTTGGAGGCCATCGCTACTAGGTTGGAGGCCATCACTACTTTATGTTGGGGCCATTACTAGTAGGCTGGAGGCCATCGCTAGTAGGTTGGCGCCATAGAAAAATGAAGAAATAGTGATCATGTGATGATGACGATGTGACTAGGTTGCTGAGCTCCGGGAGTGGGACGGCGACACCCAGACGCCTTTGTGGTGTGCATTGAGCAACATGGCGCATTTGCCCAGCAGCATTGAGCCAGGCACAATGAAACATGGTGTACTACCAAACAGGAAGACATCATTGATATATGACAATGTCATAATGACATCATAATTTGATGATAATGTGGTTCTTTTGGCGCGTCCACGGACCTGATTCTATTCAAAAGCGCGTCCCGCGTGAGGCGCAATTCTGTGCTCCTTGGCCAAGTCTGGAGAGACGGTCTTGACGCGTGGAGTGCCGAACTGCAAGCCAGTGAAGTTCCAGTTGCGCTGCTATCTCAACATGGTCGGGATCTTAGAGCCAGCCAGACAGAGCTGAACACACCGAACCTTTATGTTTAAGATAAAAGATAGAAGAGAGGGTCACCGAACAGACGCATTCTAACGGACCTTCATTTGGGTTGCATGAATAGGTACACTATGTCATCCAATGAACATGCATTGTTGTGTACACTATGTATGTGAGTATGTAGCTATGTACAAATATTTTGCATGTAACAATTGCATTATACTTATAATAGTTTGCAATTAGGTTGGAGGCCATCGCTATTGTGTTGGAGGCCATTGCTCTTAGATTCCTTTTGCTATTGGGTTGGAGGCATTTTTATGCTATTTACATTTAATTTGCACCCCGTTTGTGGTTTTATCGAGTGCGTTTGACGGTGTGCGGCGAGTTCCAAGGCGCGCAATTTGAACTGTGAAGGCGATCGAGTTCCAAGTTCCTTTTGCGAGATCGCATGTGCTGGGCAAAGAGAGCGTCCCTTGGCTTCAGACTTGGTGTTTAGGCGACCGATTTGATGAGGTACTGTTTGTATGAGATGCAGTATGCTTTTGTGTGATTTTCTTGACTTGATTCATGGTCTTTCATAGTCACATCAAATCAACAAACGAAACGCTTGAGAAGCCTCCATCGTACCGCTTGCTTGCAGCTTCAGCGCTCCTGACACGATCGCCACGTCAGGCACGAAAGTGGTGCCGCAAACGTCTTCACCCTACTGGGCTGAGATGGTTGAGATGACCATCAGCATCTCGGTCTGAAATCACCGAAGAAGTACAGGACTGTAGATAGTATGGTGATTCCGAAGTGATTCCCAAATAGCCAAATAGATAGAAACGCTTTCCAAGACATTTTTAGTGGGTATCTCCTTTTCTCTCTATTTTGGGGGTCTATATGTGGTATAATAGGAAGGCGTATTCGGAAGAGTCGCAGATTGAGCTATCAAGAGCCATCGAGAGCTTAAAGCAATCGATGAGCCAGCATTGTATTCGTTGCTGCCCTCAAAATTGACTGCCCCTCACACCGGAGTCATCCCGACAAGCGAAATCAGATTACAAGAAGGCTGTCAAAGGCTCGGCCTCTACAGCAGAAACTCATGCCCCCATGCACCTAGTATCCCAAAAACGAAGCGGTGAGACAAGTGCTCAACGTGTTTCACAGTGGCCTTCTGGTTGAGGCCTGCAATGCTCTTTGCAGAATATGCGATGCTATTCAGAGCCAATACAGCTGCTGGCTTGGCAAACAGTAGAGTGAAATCTATGTTTTCCATCAGTCCATGGATTCAGTTAGGGTTGTGGCGCTTTGTTCCCTTTTCTTCCTTCACACTGGAAGCGAGGCTTACCGTGTACGACGTTCTGGGCAAGACGCTTTTGGAGAAGGTTGCAGACGTGACCAACAACGCTAAGCAGCTAGCAAGTGGGGCTTTAGGTGGCAATATCCCCATCAGCAACAAGGATGGCAATGCGGATTTCAATGATGAAGCGGGTATTGCAGCAGCAGATATTGATGTCGTTCGGGTCTCAAAGTCTCAACCTGTCTGTTGTGCTTTCCACTGCTAGGTTGGAGACCATTGCTATTAGGTTCCGTATTCTCTTTGGACCAACTCAATCGAGCTGAGGCCAAGATTGGAGAAGAATACGCGGGCTACGTGAAAGATCAAGCCATGGCTCAGATGATGGGGGACGTAATGGCGGTGAAAAGGCTTGGTGAAGTCAAAGGTGGTCGAAAAGTCATTGGCCGACAAAAGATCCACTTCCGTCGCTTGGAGGATGTGGGTTTCATTTGGTTTCATGTTGTCTGCTGTCCCTAGGACGTAGGAGGATGGGGGGAGGCAAGAATTTGGAGAAGCTTTTTTCATCTTTTGTCAAGGAAGACGGTCTTCAAGGCGGTTGATTCTTCGAGCGTCGATCCCTAATCCACTGTTGAGGCAAGCTGCTTCACCCTTTGACAAACTACAAGATGCGGCAGCGTTGGATCAAGCTGAAGGGTGGAGTCATGGGCACTGGCTGGGCAGGTGATGTTATGATTGGATTCCAAGTTGCAAGTGGCAAGTTGTGGCAGATATCTTCCATCCTTTGTCCTTTCTTTTGCGGCAGAAGAAATTTGAGCAAAGACAAGGAACACATATATCATGGAAGGACATCGTGGGTGCTGCCACAAAATGGTCATGTGTTTTGACGATGATTTATTTCGTTCTTGTTTAGCTTAGACCCTAGAGCTAAGGATTTGAGTTGATGCGTGTGAAATATACTAAAGACTTCCCTCCTCGTGCAATGAAACCGCCTGGGAAGCCCTGTTTGATCTCCGTGGCGATCATTGGCCTGCGGAATTTGACGGTGCCCGAAGTCGTCGAGGGCGACCCAGTCCTGCAGGTGGTCGTGCCGTCGGTGAAGGCGGACCCATCCAAACCGGAGCCGGGGGCGAAGGCCAAAGCCAAAGCCAAAGCGAAGGCTGACGGAAAAGGCAAAGAAGGTAAAGGAAAAGGGAAGGCAGTGAAAGAAGTGGGGAAAGAAGAAGCCAAAGAGAGCAAAGAGAAAGACGGTGAGAAAGGAAAAGAAGTAAAAGACAAAGGAAAAGGTGACAAAGGAGAAGCTCCAAAAGACAGAAAGTCGAACATAGGTATGGCAGGTCTGCAGATGGCCGAAGGAAGCGATGCCATTCAGACCATGTCAGAGGTTATCGTGTGGTCCAAAAAGCCAGAGACCAGACTGCATGACAAAGATACAAACAAAAAGTGGAGCGCAGTTGGTCGCGTGGGCTACGAATTCTTGAACGTGGTCCACATTGCCCCTTGGCATTTACAATTCCTCTCCTATCCCTGGCTGTTTGCATATTTTTTTGGCCTTCGGTCTTTGGTTTTGGACCGAGCTAGCCCGCACTCTGCCTTCCTAGAAAGGAAATGCCAAAAGCTTGTCCTTGTCGTGTTGAACGGCCCCCTTGGGCCCTTGGCTTTGACTGGCGAGTGCCCTGTCTTGAGGCTGCATTGCTGCCAAAGCTGCCAGTCTATGAGCCCGATTTGCGCTTTTTGTTGAAAGATGGACAAGACTCGGATTCCAAGCTTCTGGCAGAGGGTCGAATCGGGTTGGCAGAGCATTTGCCATGGGTCAGCGACAAAGCCAAGGCCAAGTGACTCGGAGATGGAAGTCGCTCAGAATGTTGTTTTTTTTCATAGTTTTGCCTTGTTTTGCCATGATCTCATTCATGCCAACATTGTCCAAGAATGTCCCTGGAAAGCAGACTTCAGACTTCAGGAAGCCGTCTCAGTTCACTTGAAATGTTCTCAAACTCTTCAGGAAGCGTCGAGGCTTCCATACCGTTCCACGATGTCGCCTGTTTGTGAAGTCGTTTGTGATCGTCATGCCGTTCGATGTGTGGTTCTTCCGAGGGAAGCTACAGAGGCCAAGGACACGTACTCTGATGGTCATGGGCCCAGAAATATCAAGACCAGAACCGGGATATATATGTGTGTTTTTTTTCTCTGGGGCGGTGGTACGTGTTTAAAACAAAAATCGCGTGTCATGCCAATCATGCCACCAGTTTCTATTTCATTGTTCAATCTATCAGTCAGCAGTCAGCGATTTGTCAATGAGACATGCTATAGATAATGGTTGCCGATGGTCTCTCTAGACTCTATCTCCCCATGTTTACAAGGGTTCAGACTGATTGTGACCTGTCCCTCTCAGGCGAGGGGGGTGCATATGATGGCATGCCAGTGAGCGATGCAGATGAAGAAGGTGAGGTCCTTGGAGAAGCTGCATGTTCAAAGAAAACCGACTTAAACACATGGCAAGTGTACTTGGTCTTTGCAACATACACCTTGAAGTAGCGTCCTTGCTAATTACTAGTAGTATCTAGTAGTGATGCCCTTTGTTACTAGGAGCTTTTTGTTACTAGTAGTATGGCCAGGAGCGCCCCGTTCGTAGCGATGCCCAAAATGTTCCGTTCGTAGCTTCGAGCAGGAGCTAACTACGTCGAAGTGGTCCTTGGAAACCAGCCACTTGGAGCAGAGGAGCCAGTCCCAGTCCGTTCGGGTTGCCCAACGTCCGCCCAGGCAAGCGAAGATTGCCTTCACTGCAGAGGTCTCTCGTCAACTTTTCAGACTGAACTGGAATAGGATTTGAGATTCAGCATGCGGTGTTTCCAGGACAAGGGCAGCTTCCCTCCTGTCATCACGGCCTGCAGCGAGAAGAGCCAGGTCGCAGCCAAAGGGTGGCTTGGCTTCAGAGCCAAAGACGTTATGTTTCAACCTTTTTCACTACCAGGTTGGAGGCCATCGCTATTAGGTTGGAGGCCATCGCTAGTAGGTTGAAGGCCATCGCTAGGCCTCCAACATAGAAGCGATGGCCTCCAACCTAATAATAGCGATGGCCTCCAACCTAGTAATAGCGATGGCCTCCAACCTAAGAGCGATCGCCTCTTCCTGGAATATGTTGTTTTGGGGTTAGCTAAGGATCGGCGTGGGTGATTGGTTGATTGCTGTGAAAAAGAAAGACGAGAAGCAGGCCACCAGATTTTTGGATTATGTGCGGTACCCCCTCACAATTGGAGATCCCAATCCTCGTGAGGTGTCCAATGTGTCAAGAGTTGCGTGATTTGCAACATCCATCGATGAGGTGTTTGCTGGCATGTTGACTGGAAATCTGATGTAGTGGCCAGGAACAGACTGTGACTTGGAGTCCCGCGAAGGCCCACGAGTTCATTCAGACGCTTGTTGTGGCACTTTTTGAGCGCAGTCGTAACAAGTGCCACGCTAGTAACAGGTGCCTTACTAGTAACAAGAAGCTAGTAGTAACAAGTGCCACGCTAGTAGTAACAGGTGCCTTACTAGTAGTAACAAGAAGCTAGTAGTAACAAGTGCCACGCTAGTAGTAACAGGTGCCTTACTAGTAGTAACAAGAAGCTAGTAGTAACAGGTGCCTTACTAGTAGTGGAAACGACACGCGACCGTCCTCCGAGACTTTCTTCACATAGCTCTTGAGCTCCACCAAGGTTTCGCAGAGCATATTCGGCCGTGCGAGTGCAAAGTATTCCCACACACTCAAATGCAAAAAGCAATCAATGGGAACGCCTTTCGTGACTTGGATTCGAGAGAAAACGAAGCGCCAGTTGAACTCGCCATCACCTACGCAAGAATCATGTTGATCCGTCTCCTGCTCCTTTGGTTGAGGGCCATTGTAGGTTCGACAGTCCATGGAGCAACGGCAACGGATACTAATGTTCTCACGCTGGTCGCCATACTCGTCTGTACCTCAGCGGAAAGCAGTGATACTCGAGCTGCCTCAATATAAGACATGAAACCCACTGAGAGTGGTACACATCCGCATCTGGAGATCGTGAATCGTCCAGCAAATCAAACGGACCTCGACCTCAAATGCATGCTTACATCAGCATTACGTCCAGAGGTCTGGCGCAAAATACCCAAATCCCATCAAATCCCGGTTTTTGACGAGGCCAACCGTCAAACCTCTGCGTCAATTAGATGCTCGCTGGAGAGTCAAATCCACGCAAACCTTCAAATAAATATCTTAAAACTGTTTCCAGAGTTGAGGGAGAAGTGGAGAAGGGGAGCAAGCGTTTGGCCTGTGATCTTCCTTTGTCAAGCCACTTCCATCGCAGGTGGTTGCAAAAGCTTGCTTACAGGTACTTCAGCAGCAGTTGTCGTATCCAGCAGTTCTATCCACATCTCCAAGGAGCCTTCCCACAAAGACTACATTGCACAAGACATCACAAGACTAATACTAACGACTAACTACTGTGAATGATGTTCCTTCTTCATACTTCTCCTTCCGGGCATTTCTCACGTCAGCCTTTCGATATAGTGCTCACGTCGTTGGTATTCGGGTCGATCGTTTCGCACAGCAAGGGTCTATATTCAATCGGCACCTGGCGCAAGGGGAATCTGGTCTAATAGCTTCTTGTTACTACTAGTAAGGCACCTGTTACTAGAAGCGATGCACTTGTTTCTAAAAGCTTCTTGTTACTACTAGTAAGGCACCTGTTACTAGAAGCGATGCAATTGTTTCTAATAGCTTCTTGTTTCTACTAGGACAGCAGCTGCACCTTCTTGTTTTCCATCATGAGCTTGTACTCTCTGGTGTAGTACCTCGATTTGGGCTAGGCTTCCTCGACATGCGGCTGCTTTTCAGCGTTCTTCCGCTGCAACCCAGGCCTGTCTTCCAGGTCCAGGATGCTCTTACCAATAAGCAAGTCCTCCCCATTCTCTTGATAGTCGAAAAGACCAATCTCAAAATAGGACCTGACGCACATTGCACTCACCGGCAACACAAGACCCCAAGCCGCTGGCTTTGAATTCGCCGCTTGTACGCTTCTTGTTACAAGTAACTTCAATGCATATAACACGTGCTATATTGCATCATACCACGTGCTTGTGCAACGGTCTTAGGTTGCCACTGCTCCGGAAGGTTCACATCACACTCCTGGGCGAGCCGACGCTGGTGTCCTACGGTGCCGTGCGTCTGCCGGTGCCTCGGTGCGGAAGTAGCGTGGTTCCACTGATTGCATCTGCCGGTGCCCCTCCAACGACACTTTGTTGGCTCCTGCACAGTGCGAACAAATGCTTGGCAACACACTGGACGCTTTCTGGTCGTTTTGGTCTGCTTGTGCCAAGGCACCATACATGAAGTACAAATATGGATTGCCATAGCCAGAAACTGCCTAAACGCCGGCAAGTACCGTTCAGGTTGTTTTTTCCAGTCGAGCCATGCTGTGATTCAGCCAAGTGGCTCCACTGATATTCAAACCTCGAATGATGTAGGTCCGCACGCGCAAGGAATGCGGCTGATCAATCTTGAAGCGTTTCCGTAAGAGCTTCTCATCGAAGAAGACCTGGGCTTGCTCCCTCTTCTCATCCACTGTTTTCTCGCAATGTAAAGAAACATCATCTTCTTAATTTCAAGACAACGACCTGGCTCCAAACCCTGATTTCCGCATTTTTCTGTCCGCTGTCTTGAACATGTCACATCCCCGGCACACTTATCTTTGAGACACACGCACACAATATATATATATATATATAGCAATCATATATATATATAACAACTATATACAACTATCCGCACATAAATATGTACACAGACAGGTGTCACACAAAACCAACTCATTGCCGGCCTTGTCTTCCACGCTGACTTCTTTGCCGGTCATCCACTTTTTGTTTGGAGGGGAAACAACCTGGTCACATCGATTGCTGCAAGAACTGGATTCAATGCCTATCCAATTTCGCCGGATTTCACACCGCACCCGCCTTAAATTTGGCCTTGACCTGCCCAACCTCTCTAGAACCACCTGAGTGAAAAACGGATCTGTTTAATTGAATGGCTTCTGCAAGAACAGTTCTGGCACTGAACACAGCCTTCAATATAGTCAAATCAATCATGTCGAAAGAATGTCGAGCCGCTGAAGAGTGGGATGTTGCGAAAGACAGCTGGCTCCATGTTGTCCTCCAGACCTAAGGGTAACAATACTGGTGTAAAGGCCATTGCTATTAGGTTGAAGGCCATTGCTATTAGGTTGGAGGCCATCGCTCTTAGGTTGGAGGCCATTTCTAGTAGGTTGGAGGGCAAAGCGGCCTTTAAAAAGACTTTATAATCTATAATTCAATCATGCGGGGTTTGGACTGCAAAACTGATGTGGATCACTGAGATCAATACAACCTTGAATGCTTGGCCGAGCTCGATCATCCTCCTCGTCACCTCATTGCCAAAGCCGAGACATGTTAGGAAGGAAGGAGGGAAAAAAACCTAAAATAACAAAAAAA